GGAAAATTCTTACCTATGACGAATTACTTAGGTTTTAACGTATGATATGTTTTATTCTATTTTAAGCCTCTCTCGTTTTTGTCAACGTTGCTTTTAATACTTTTTTAAACATTTAAAATTTAGATGCTAAACCATTTCTTCCAATGAAAAAGGAAGAACATTTACAAATCAAAAATTATTGAAAATGCCTTCGGCGAATTCAACGTGTATCGAGAATTCTTGTGCAGTTGTGGATTTGTGGTTGCAAAAAAGAAGTAACGAGCTTTTGTCGATTATACGTTTTTCACAACGGTGGTAGTTACTTTTAGCAATGATTATAATTAAAGAATGTAATTAAAGAAAGGAGATCTTTGCCGATTTTAACGACGATTGTGGAAAATTCTTACCTATGACGAATTACTTAGGTTTTAACGTATGATATGTTTCATTCTATTGTATATTCTACTTTAAGCATTTCTCGTTTTTGTCAACGTTGCTTTTAATACTTTTTTAAACATTTAAAATTTAGATGCTCCAATGGAAAAGGAAGAACATTTACGAATCAAAAATTATTGAAATATGCCTTCGAAGAATTTATTGACACTAAAACGTAATGATAATAATCTTTATAAAAATATTTAACCAAGCAAAATTGAAAATATTGACTCAAATTAATGATACAAGTAGATGACGAATTAAGAATCATAAAAGGATTAATGAATTAATTGGCAAAAATTTGTAGATCGTAAAATAAAAAACTGTTATGTTCATTTAAAATTAGCGTTAAAAGTCGGACGTTTTGCAATTCAATGCAAAAAGGAAATAGGAAATTTCAATTAATTTTTCATATTTTCATAGTTTGTTTTAGTGGCAGTTAATGATATCAAATTCTTGCGGCAGGCATTTGAATTTGTAATTAAACAAGAATACGGAATTTAGATAAGAAACATAGTTTATAGCTCATTGGTGATGATTTTTAATAATTGAATTAACTGAAAAGTTCTCTTTCAATTATATCGTTTGTTAGTCGTAGCCAATTACCAAAGATTTTTCATTAAGGATTTTTACAGATTATAGGATAGTTCAAATGTATCTAATTATAAGTGTACATTTTCATTGGCGGAAATGTAATAAAACCTAATAAAAACCAATATACTGCGTAACTGTTAGGAATTCCATCGATTATTAAGATATTATGTTTTTGGAATTTTTTTTTTTCTTTTTTATAAATCAATGTCGTTGATTTGATTAAATAAATCTTTTTGAAAGACAAGAATGGAATTCAACACAGAGTATCAGTTTGTAAAATCATTGAAAGTATGCATATTCTAATAACAACAACGAAGAACTCTGTAGTTACTAAATAAATATAAATGACAAACGATTGCAGATAACAGTGATTGATACATCGAAATCTTGAATTAATAGTAATTAGTAGGTTAAAAAAATCGGTGACGTTTTTAGACGAAACTTTTCCACCAACTAAATAATAACTTGGGAAATCTTTCTGATAAACGAAACGAGAAATTATAGAAATTTACGATATCTAACTGAAATAGCAGCTTCAACGATACATACATAGTACAGAGGAATTACAGGTTGCGAAAATTTTAGAAGAATTAACGTCAGTAATTTCAGTAGCACAGCGGAATGTGGAATTCTGCCAATGGTATTATCATTTATGATTATTAGTAATGCAGGAGAAGAAGTGGTAAGAAAAATTTTTACATCGCGTAATTTTGCAACGATAGAACAAGAGAAGGAGAAAAAGAAAGAGAGAGAGAGAGAGAGAGAAAAAAAGCAGAGAAAGTATGAAGCAGCCAATCGACAGTCAGTACCTTCAGGGAGGCTTTGGTAACGAAAGTCTTGCCACACTGATCGCACCTATGATTCTCCGGCGTTGTTTTGCCGCGTTGTGCACCATCCTGACTGACCGCGGCGTCGTTATTATTGTTATCACTGTTGATAATGACTCTGTCAGCCAGTCTATCGTCGATCCTCGCCTCGTTCTCCGGCTTCTCGGCTTCCGCGCTGGCGGAACGATGATCGGTTTTACCAACGATCGACTCGATCGTGTCGCACAGTCTGCTAACAGGATGGGAAATCTCCAGCTTCTGCGGCGACGTGATTTGCCCGAGATAGCCACCCTTTCGATTCACATTCGACTGACTGGTCTCCGTAACGTTCGGTAACGACTTCGTTGTCGTTGATATTACGTTGTTCTCAGACAGTGCCTCGTTGTTTCTGACAACGTCGTTGCTCAACGAGATTTGCGCGATCGTCGACGACGATAGAACTTGAGGCGAATAAAACTCTCGAGGCCTCGGCACCAACGTGGAACTCGGCTCCAGCAATTTCTTATCGTTATTGTATGTAACTTCGTGAATAGTAGGAACTTCGACGTCGCAGTGACGGTCCACAAGCGCGGCGTTTTTGGAGCATTGTCGATTGGGGCTCGTGGAGATCGCAGGAGGTCGCGTGGCTTCCAGCGCGCGTAGACTTTCCCCGGCTCTCTGCAACAAGATCACAGCGAAACCGCGAATGATATATATTTCGCTCTTCAATTTCACGCTTTCGATCTACGTTTTTAACCTTATCGGGCTGCATTTTTTAATTACACGTTATACATGCATGCGCGTTGCGTGTGTAATTCATCATCCGTGATTTACTCGAGCATAAAGACCGTACGGATTTCTTACTTGTTCCCCGCGAACCTTCAATTATCATTAGAGGAAATCATCGGAAGCAATTAAGCCGAACTGACTCGGAGAAGTATCGGTCGGCGACCGTTAATCATCGATTCGTAATTTTCTAATTGTTATTCTCGAGTTACGGGACCCCGGCGATATAACCGGCGATCATCCATCATTCTAATAATTTACACGTGCGCGGAGAGTTGTGTAGCGTAATTTATTAGTCTGATAACGCACTGACGAGATTCCAACAGATACAAATCGATGCTCACCTAAACTAATAGAATATTCGTGCACGAATGCATGTAAATTTCATTTATTTATGTTTCACCCGATAATTAATGATCTATGTGTGTTTATTCTGATTGCAGCTCGATCGGGAATAAAAGAATTTTCTAGGAATTCTTTAACTAAAGGAATGGAGAATGAGACCATGGAAGTAAGTTCGGTAATTAATAATGACAATTAGTTTTTGCTAATTAGACTGCGGATATTTATAGGATTTTTATGGACATAAATAAATATCAAATAAAAGTCTTAATCTACGATTTATTTATAACTATGTAATTGTTTTACCTACTAGATACCAGAACGAATAAATACTTTATTTTGAATATTTTGTACATTATTTTATTATATTTATATATTATTTTATGAATTACTTTGGATATTTTATATACATTTTGAATGCTTCTGCGCCTTCACGATATCTGCAAATTAATCGCAAAAATTTCTCAAACTTTTCACTCTTAAACTCATTAAAAATCAAGTAACAGTTCTTCGACATTTCATAAAGTTATAAAATTAAAAATAAAAACTAAAAAAAATAGTAAATTAAGATAGTAATCTATGGTACTAAATTAAGAAAATAATAATAATAAACTATAGAATCTAATTATTATTATTAAATTAGTAACAAAAAAACATTAAGAGCATTTTTGGAATTTCTTTTTATGGCCACAGTATTAATGAACAGAATTGATTAGCGTTGAAACAAAATTCCAAATGAAAAATGAAAGCAAAAAAAAGCAAAAAAATTACATTAACGCTATACGAATTTCTCGTTTGCAAACAGATTCAACTTTCTATCATTTTCTTACTCCTATATCTTGAATGAATGAATTATTCAAGAAATTTTTTAATAAATTTGATATTATATCACAGCGTAGAAAGCAAATAACATTATTGGTTATATCGGAGAAGATAAGGATGCAAACACGATGAAAATAGTGAACAACGTGAAACATTGAGAAATGTTTAAACATGAGATTTTCAAAGGAAAACATTCCACTTATTTCGCAAATAAAAATTCTCTACCAACCTTCGTATCGAAAAAATCATGTACCCATATTTTTTAACCCTCAAGCTTCTTTAATCTTCGAACTATCAATTATGGAACATTCTTGATCCAATCTAATATGTTATATACAATTGTAGAATTTTCAATAAC